AGCAAGAGATACCCTGCCCTGGTCATCACACTTTTTAGGATCCCTGCTCTGCCTCTCTTGTAGTTGCTAGGCGCCTTCTGGAAGACGGGTTGGGGGTGTCTTGGGACGACATGACCGCCTTCCAGACCATTCCTGGGCATTTGAGACCCTAACATGTCCTGTCTAAATGGTCTCAGCCTCTTGAGTCTCAGAGGGACAGATGCTACTTGTGTCTGAGCCACAGCAATAGGGCAGCTAGCTGCTTTGGGGTACAGGCCAGAACCCCAATTGGGTTAGGGGTCCTCATGCTCGAGGTGGTGTCCGATGGAGGAGGGGACAGAAAAGGGGAAGAGGAGCAGGCTTCACTCTTGGCTTGGACCATGTGGCACAAAGTGCTAGGAGTCCTAGAGTTCTGAAATCATGTTTGGCCTAAAAGAGGGTACTAAAGGAGAACTTTGCCACCATCAAGGGAATTCCAGTTCTTTTGGATGCAGGCCTTCCCTGTGATCCTGCCTTGACTCTTGGGCTACCAACTTGAAAACACTGCCAGGATATGATGGTGACATCCAGCCCCGAGTTTCCTCCAGATCTAGTCAGCCCACTACTTCTGGCCTTATAGACCATTGCATAGCTGTGGCAACTAAGGCAGGAAGGGCCCAACAAGGAGCTGGCCCCAGGCTCTACCACTCATGAAGAGTCGGGGCATCAGGGTCTGTGCCGGACTCCCACATATTCCAGCCCTGCTTATACCTCAATTATAGTCTGCCTCAGTCCTCATTGCATCCCAGGCATCAACAGCCTCCCCCGCTCCCCCCCCCCCCCCCTCTGAGCATGCTAGGCTAGATGGCCAGTAAGTTCCAGCACTAGGATGACAACTGAGCTCTGCCCTGCCTAGAGTGTAAAGCTCTGAGGATCAAAATCAGGTCCTTGTGCTCATAAAGCAAGCACATTACCAACTAAGTCATCTCCCTGACTCCCAGGCACCTATTCTGAATGTGCTTCGTGGCTATAGGGCTGGAGGCTCTAAAAGTTCAGCCAACCAACCAGCCTGGGGTCACAGGGTCGGTCTGGGCTGGAGCCGGCTGCAACCAAGGCCTGACTCCTCTGAGTCCGAGTTTTCTCTTCAAGAGGAAAAAGGCCAAACAAAAGAAGCCTGTAGGAAAGGTCTGCCCTCGGCTGCCACAGGATCTGTGCTCAGAGTGGGAGGGGGTAGAGGGCCCTTGCCTAGGTCTTTCATATCAGTGCAGAAAGAAGCCAGAGTGAAAACAATGTCATTGAAACAAAGACCCGTACAGACTTTGCCATCAGGCTGGAGGCTGGTGGGGTGGGGGTGGGGTGCCTGGCCTAGCAGGGGTAAGGGTGGCTCTTCACAGAAAAGAATGCATAATCCCACCAGGGAGTCCAGGGTGTCACACACAATCCAGGGAGCACAGACCATGGGCTCTGGTCCCCGGAGGTGTTGGGGACCACGCCAAAGCAGCTCACTGGCCGCTGAGTGTCTGGCCGATGCCATGCCATTTCTGGACAGAAACTCTGCTGTCTACATCTATACATTCACTGAACCCTCACCCAAACTCCTACGAGACAGGGATTACACATTCCGTGTTGTAGGTAGGAAACTGAGGTACAGAGAAGCGAAGATTCTGACCGACGACAACTAAACAGCTCAGAACCAGGGCACCAGGACTTATGCGTCAAGCCGGCAGCGTCCAGATCTGTCCCCTGGGCCGCCAGAGTGACAGTGGTGACCTGTGTCTTCACTGACTACTCAATTACTGAAGCGTGGTCGCTGCAGACAGCTGGGCATGCAGCCTAGGAAGTGCTGTGCGCATTAGGTGAGGAGTGGGTGACAATTTGCCTGGATGTGGCATTGTGAAAGCTGTGTGGTCCCTAGTCAAACCCCTGCCTGGCTCTGCAGTCCCTCAGCCCAGCCCCAAGTAGCCGCCTGCAGCCCTGCACACGCTGTGCCCAGGCCTACAGGCCTACAAACTCCTTCCCCCCTCTGAGAGCCTGCTGAGAGCTTCCTCTTTGAAGCCCAGGCAACCCTGCTTCCACCGCTAGGCCTCACCCCAGCCAGGGGTAGCTTTTCACAGGCCCTTCTGGTCTTTACTAACCCTTGTCCAGACCCCTGTTTTGGCACTTCTTTGGGGTGTAATTACATGTTCGCAGATCTGTTTCCCATAATGAGCTCATCTGAGCCCCAACACGCGTTAAACAAAACCAGACAGGAGCTCTCCGCCTGACACGCCACTGGAAAGGGGAGGCCCATGTGCTTGGGGTATTGAACCCTTCTACCCAGTGCTGACAAGCCAGCTGGCACCGTGACGGTCTGCTAGGCCCGTTCAGAAATTCCTGCGTGCAAGGCTAGCAAATCCTGGTGACCTTTCAGCCCTTCGGATCCATTTGTGGCAAGGATTCTGAAGGATCGCTTTCGGGGCGGGGGGGAAGGGAAGAAAATGTTTTCTGCCCAGACTCTGGATTCCGATGGCAAATGCAGAAAGATGCTCAAGCGGCTATAGTAGCAATCGCGCCAGCTGGTTTAATTGGCTTTGTACCGTCATTTCACTAAGTCTCGAGACATAGTGGCACACTGACCTGGTGAAGAGGTATCTCAGGGACCATGATGATACAATACAGCTTTCTTCCAGTGACAAGAAACAGAGACTCCGAGTCAAGCACATCCATGCCCTCCTTGGTCCAGTGGCCATGCTTCCACAGCTAATGGCAGAGGAGGGCTGGGAGCTGACGGGTCTGTTCTGAGAGTCATGGGTGGTCCATGGGTTGCTGTCACTTGGGTTACAGCCTGTGAGGCACCTCCCTGTCCCCTCAAGAGGTTCTGAGGCCTTAGCTCCAGAACTGTGAATGTGGCCTCCGGAGGAATGGTGAATGGTCTTCACGGTTGTATTTCTCTCTTCTGGTTCTGTGATCTAAGGCAGCTTAGGGGAGGAAGTTGAAAGGGATGGGATCCATCATGGCAGGAGGTCGTGGCGGCAGGAGTTGGAGGAGGCAGCCGTCCACATTGCATCCACAGCCAGGAAGCCCCTGTTCAGTTCGTGTTCTCCTTTTTATGCAGTCTGGGACCCCCATCCACGGAATGGGGGCCCCCAATTAGTGTGGGTTGTCTCACCGCAACGAACCTAATCTAGAATATCCCTAACAGACACACTCAGAGGCGTTTCCACGGTGAACCTGAATCCAGCCAAGATGACAGTGTTAACCGTCACAGCAGATGATCAGGAAGAGGAGAGGTAGCCATGGCAGGCCCTCATCCAATCTGACTGATGTCTTTAGGAAGTAGGGAATCTGGACACTGAGAATGTCTGTGGAGCTAAGACAGTGTGAAGACATGGGACAGGCTGTCTGCAAGCCTAAGAGTTCTTAAATGACCAGAGATCAGGCTCAGAAAGGCCTTGAAAAGAACCTTACCCACAGCCCTCAGATGGAAACAGCCCTGCCTCAGTTTTGGATTTTTAACCTTTAGAGTGCTGTGAGAGAATCAACCTCTATTCTGTAAGCCACCCAGCTCATCCCTTTGTCATGGTAACCCCAGGGAGCTCCTACAACAGGCCTTTAGCAACTTTTTTGACTGGTGGAGTGAATAGGTGGACACGGAGGCCACAGAAAAATGCCTGATGCTAAAGGGACCAGATCATGCTGACCATCTGACCACAGGATAGCAAAACTCACAGACGGAGGCAGACAGAGGACCAACGGAGGCTTGCCAGCAGGGCCTGCCATTTCCCTCCCTGTTCGTTTACATTTTCTCAACTCCATTCACCAAAACCAATCATGCATATACATTTTACGAAATTGGCTTAAACCAGATTTGAGCTGTGGACAGTTGGAGGTATACAAGACCATGGGCTGAACTGTATTCCCTCAGAAAGACTCCAACCACTGTTACCTCTAAATGTGACTATATTTGGAGACAGTGATTTAGAGGGGTCATTTCATTTAAAACTAGAACTGTTGGGGTGGACTTACTCTAATATGACAGTTTATTCCAATATGACAAATGTCCTTAATTTGTTAATTAATGTGTGTGTGTATGTGTGTGTGTAGGTCAAGTTGTTCAGCTTGCAGGAATCAGTTCTCTCCTTCTAGCACATGAATCCTGAACTGAACTTGGGTCGTCAGGCTTGGTGACAGGTGCTCTTATGCACTAGAGTGGTTTAAATAATGTCCCCCTAGCCTTAGAGGCAGTGGCACACACCTTTAATCCCAGCACTAGGGAGGCAGAGGCTGGCAGATCTCTGTGAGTTCAAGGTCAGCCTGGTTTACGGAGTGATTTCCAGGATAGCCAAAGCTACCCAGAAAACCCATCCCCACTAAAAATGTCTCCATAGGCTCATGTATTTGAACACTTGGTTCCCAGTTGGCGGAGCTGTTTGGGGAGGTTATGGGAGGTCCAGCCTTGCTGCAGGGGCTGTGCCGCCGGCAGCAGGCTTTGAAAACTGATAGCCTGGCCCCACTTCCAGCTTGTTCCATCTGCTTTGTGTTTGTAATTGAAGATGTGGTCTCTCAGCTTCCTGCTCCTGCCTCCATGCTTCAGTGTCTGTTGCTGGCTGCCATGCCTCCCCGCTACGGTGCACTTTTATTCATCTGGGACTATAAGCCAAAAGAAACTCTGTCTCCTGTAAGCTGCCTTGGTCATGGTGTTTTGTCACCTACTGAGCCACCTCCCTGCTCCAGATGTCCTTGAAAGAAGAAGCAACTAGGACCCAGAGAGATACCACCAGATGCAGGCACGCACAAAGTGTACACACTGACATACACAAGAAGGCAGCCATCTGTGCCTGAGCTTGGTCCTCCAGCCTCTAGAACACCGAGGAAGAAGATGTCTGCCATGGAAGCTGCATGGTTTGGGGTATTTTGTTATGGCAACTTGGCAAACTACTGCAAGGAGCCAGAGGAAGATGCCTCTTTGCGCAGACACTACTCCCCCTCCCCCAACTCTGCACGCTAGGACTGAGAAACAGAAAGGCTGCACGCAGAGGGTGAGGCTCAGCCTCACCACTCACCCAGGCAGTTGTGTCCATCATGAGCCAGCATGAAGCCGTCAAAGCAGGTGCATCTGTAGTTCCCAGGGATGTTGATGCAGTCATGGACACAGCCTCCATTGTAGTAGTCATTCTCACACTCGTCGATGTCTGCAAAGGCAGAGATGTGAGAGACATCAGAATAAGAACCTGGGGTTCCCCCTCCCACCGCCACAAGCCACTGTGATGACTTATTAGGGAATGTGACGCGACCTGCAATCACCTGAGAAGAGAGTCTGAAGGAGGGATTGTCTGCATTGGGCTCACTTTCGGGCATGCCTGCAGGGCATTGTCTTAAGGGGGTTAATTGGTATGGTGAGACCCAGCCCACTGTGGGTAGTGTCATTCCCTAGGCAGAAGGTTCTGAGCTTGACAAATGAAGAAATAAGGCAGAGCACAAGCAAGCAAGCAAGCATCATACACTCATTTCTCTCTACTCTTGTCTGAGGGTATGATGTAACTAGCTGCTTCAAGTTACTGCCTTGACTTCCCCATACTGATGGACTATAGCCTGGAGTCGTAATCAGGAATAACACTTCCTTCCCCCCCCAAGTTATTTTTTTTTGTCAAGTTATTTTTTTTTCTTAATCACAACACCAGAAATGAAATTAGAACAGGGGATAACTCAACAGATATGCAATAAAGATCACTTAGGGGGAGTGAAGAGTTATTTGAAAAAGCTCTTGGCTTAGTAGCAAGGCTGACCACCAGTTTTCAGAAGAGTCACATTGTGTGTGCGTGTGTGTGTGAGAGAGAGAGACCTTCAGTTCCTGCCACAGTGAGGCAGGTAAGAGTCAAGCCTGGCTCTGGCCCCTTTAAGAGTCTGTCAACACTACCAACATATGGGGTACTTCTGCGTCCACAAAAACCAGCTCTTTTGAAGCAGGGAGACCAAGGAAAATAAACTCAGTACATCACTAAGAAGTGTCATCTCTGGAATGAAAGAATGTCCAGCCCTCCTCCCCCCCCCCCCCCCCCGCAGTAGTTGCCTTCCCTATGGCCCAAGGCCTGGCCTTCAGCTGCTCCAGCTTCCTTGTTATAACAAAGACTTCTGTCTCATAAACAATGGTCAATAGCTTTAGTAAAGGTCATTATTCCTGCTGTTTTAAGTCATTTTTCAACATTTCCCAGCAGGGGTCAAAGAGCAAGCCATGAGGAGCAAGCCAGTAAGCAGCACCCCTCCATGTCCTCTGCATCAGCTCCTGCCTCCAGGTTTCCACTTTGTTTGAGTTCCTGTCCTGACTTCCTTCAGTGATGGACTAAGGATGTGAAAAGTTTCCTTCCCAACTTGCTTTTGGTGATGATGCATCATTGCAACAGTAACCCTAACTAAGACAAGGACACAGCCCCAGTCCACTTGTATGGGGCACTGAAGGAACCTTGCATAGGGAGGCTAAATTTTTTAATTGAATTTTTTATATTAATTACAGTTTATTCACTTTGTATCCCAGCTGTAGTCCCCTCCCTCATTCCTTACCAATCCTACCCTTTCTCCCTCATCTCCTCTCATTCCCCTCCCCAAGTCCACTGATAGGGGAGGTCCTCCTCCCCTTCCATCTGACCCTAGCTTATCAGGTCTCGTCATCGTGGGAGGCTAAAATTTCGCCAAAGTCTACACACCTAGAAGGGGACACAAGCGGGATTCCAAGTAGTGAAATAGGACTTTGGAGTTTCAGGGAGCCGTAGCCCATCCTTGACCTCTCAGGCATGGTTTCTAGGCACAGGGTGAGCCTACCAGCCATGGTCCGGGGCCCTGGCACTTTTGCTAGGTCTTTGGCTATTCTACTTCCAAATACTCCCAGGGCTTAACGTCTCTTCGTTACACTGAGCCCAGCCTTCATGGATCTAGGATGACCTTTGTAGAGAGAGAGAGAGCTGAACACCATAGCTGAACTGTAAGTGATTCCCAAGACACAGAAGAAGCATTCCCTCCCCTCTCTGCCAGGATGGGGAGTTTGAGGTGAAGTTCTAGTGGAAGGTGGGAGGAGCCTGACCCTGAGCCTGGAGTGGGGCAGGGAAACCCTGGAGACCCACGCTCTCTCTCACCAGCTGGTGTGCAGGGGAGCCATGGCGCAGCCAACGCTGCTTAGGAATGCTAGTCTGGAAATCCACGCGCTCACTGAGCCACTCCTGACTCTTCTAGCAAGGGTTTAAGCATAGCACAGATGCCCCAGAGAGCAAAGGCAATAACCTGTGAAAAGGGCCGATGCATGAGCCCAGCCAGGCAGCCAGAAGGAGGGACAAATAAGGTAGGGGAGGGGTCCCCAAAGGTTTCAGAGTCAAGATGCTCTCTCAGTGCTTGGTAGCAGCCACCCGTGCTAGCTGGGGATCAGAACTGAGTCTGCAACATGGCTGAATCATCTTTAATCAGGACTTTAAATATACTAGTCATTTAAGTAACATTAAAGCAAGATGAAAGACTTTAGGTTTATGGAAAGTGTGCAGAGTGTTGTAACTACTGAGGGATACAGCTGCTTTCAGAGCCCTGCACACGTCACTCCAAACCTACACTCCTAAGACAATGTATCCCGGCTTTAATTCACCAAGCTGCCCATTGTGGGATTCCCAGGCAATGTTGTTTTCCTTCCACATCTCAGATACTAAGAGTGGCCTTTTCTTTTTTACTTTGTGTGTGTGTGTGTGTGTGTGTGTGTGTGTGTGTGTGTGTGTGCAGATATGTACATGTGTGTGAGTGAGCACTTACAGGACAGGGGGCAATGTCGACTTTCTTCCTCTATTGCTCTTCATCTTAGTTGTGGGGACAGGGTCTCTCAGGGAACCAGAGCTCACGAATTTGGGCAGATAGGCTGGATTCCCCAGTCAGCTCCAAGGATTCACTCGTCTCCACCCCACAACCCTGCTCCCCCAACATTACCCTTAAGTGCTGGAGTCACAGGCACAGGTCTCCCTGCCCCCCCCCAATCATTTATTTATTTATTTATTTATTTATTTATTTATTTATTTACTCACTTTACACCCTGATTGCAGCGCCCCTCCTCGCCTCCCAGGCCCATCTGCACACCCTCTCCCCACTCCCCTTCTTTTCAGAGAAGGGGAGGCCCCTCATGGGTACCAACCCGCCCTGGCACATCGAGTCACACAGCATGACAAAGCACATCTTCTCTCACTGAGGCAGCCCAGCGAGGGGGAAAGTATCCCAAGGCAGGCAACAGAGTCAGAGACAGCTCCCGCTCCAATTGTTAAGGGACCCACTTGATGACCAAGCTGCACATCTGCTACATATGTGTAGGAGGCCTAGGTCCAGCCCATGCATGCTCTTTGGTTGGTGGGTCAGTCTCTAAGTGTGGTTTTTCTTCATCTTTAACATGGCAACAGGCCTCCTTGCACGGCCAGCATGACCATCATCTCAACACCTCTCACCGAATGACCCACGATCCCACAAGAACTTTGTTCCCTCAACCTGGTGACCGGCCGGATCCCAGCAGAATCTGATTCAAGCAGCCTGTGCCATTTGGAACTGCTGTGGGTCCTTGGAACTCCCACGGCAGGTAGGAGATTTAAGAGTGGCTCAGACAAACTGAGGGAAAAAAAATTCTTTGTTGTATCTGGTGAAATAGCCATTCTCATGCTGCCCCTCAAAGAGCAGTAAGTCAAGCCTCCTCCCCCTGAAACAGGAGCCACTCGCTCCGGACCTCACTTTGGTCCTGTGGATAGCTGTCAAACTCAAGCTCAGAGAGGTTAGAGAAGTGTTCAAAGTCACAGTGGGTGACAGGACGGCTCACATCCTTCCTCCTACGTCACACTGCCTAGCACAGGCCCGGGGCAAAGTCCTCCATGCAAGGATTTCATCCTTAGCACATTTCTACTGTGTCCTGAGAAAGCGGTACTTAGCCAGCCAAGTACTGTGCCCCGTTCTGCCCTCTCACCTGTTCCTCCTCCATGCATACACGTGTGTGCACACCTTTCCATCTGCTCAACCACCAGGCAGTCAGCCACACACCCATTGAGCCAAACCCATCTTCCTCCTGCTAGCGAGGGGTCTATACACTCCAGGGCATAACTACTGACATTCCCACCCAGCCCTTCTCCCATTTATCTGACTATGCTGAAACAGGCTCACCTAGGCACCTACCCATTTACCCAGGCAAATACTCACCCATATTCAAATATCCATTCATTCATACATCCAACTATATATTTGGCCTTACACGGACCTCCAGTTAATTAAAAAGCATGCATCCAGACATCTGTTCACTCATGTCCATCAAATGCTGAACTACCCATCCATAGGTTCACTGATGCAAACACTCACCCTCCACACACACACTCACACACACACACACACACACACACACACACACACACACACACCCCACCTACCCATTCATCCTTATGTCCAACATGTGAACATTCACCCATCTCTCAATCCAAACTTTCCTTCACTAATTCACTCAAATGAAAACAACCCTGAGCTTCAGAAATGAAGTTTTAAGACAGAGAAAAACAATGAGATGGGCTGGGGACCTTGTTCAGTGATACAGTTGGTAATCCCAGGGCAAACACAAAAGGTGAGCCACAAACATAGCGAAGCTTCCTAGGTGACACCAAAGAAAGAAATACAATTTATTATAGGGCCGCCATGTCCATCACATGCGATTAAGCCACCTGAGCATCCCAGGTCTCCAAACCGGGGGACGTTCCTTGTCCTGACTAGGGATAAATCACCTTGATGGACCTGGCCTAATTTTAATCTATGCCCGTTGTCTGTGTCTAATGATTAAGAGTAACGTTTTTACTACCAGGATGATAAATAGTTTAAGATGTAATAAAGTGACTGTTGAACAGTCAATGAAACGATTTCTGGAGCCTTCCTCTCATTGGTTCCCCATAGGAAAGGCTGTAGTAGATGCCAGAGGGCTGGGGGGGGGAGGATCCTAGGGTTACAGATGCTCCCTGCAGTGGCTGGCTTCTTACGCGTGTCCAGAGATCTGAAGTCAGTCACCAGCTGGTGTGGCCAGTGCCTTTACCTATGGAACCATCTCCTAGTCCTCCACCTTATTCTCGGAGATAGGGTCTCACACTAAACCTGGAGCTCACTGATTCAGCTCAAATGCTGGTCAGCAAGTCCCAGGGATCCCCCTGTCTCCCTT